CATTGCATGAGCACCTTCCAACCAAAATATTCAACAATCTACTGGAGTTTGAAAATTATCAAAAATTGTCCAGTAGACCGGAAGGAGCACGGATGGACGACCGATCACCCTACGGTAGGACGACCGGATGACACTTTGTTCGTGACAAGCTGATAGGAAGAGTTACGGAGGAAATAGTTCTCACTTCTCGAACCCGACGATTCTCGCGGATTCAAGAAGTGGGGGACTCGTGATGGGTAAATACGTACAGAAGATTGATCCGTATAGCCGGTCCGTCAAGAAGTCATCCGACCGGTCCGTTACGGTCTTCATCCCGACAAGAATAAATCACTTGTGGTCAACCTTACCGTTCGTACCGATAGGCCTCGTGACAAAAGAAGATGTTTTTGGATCACCATTGGAATCGCCCCGACGGAAAGTCACCCGGTCGGTCTACCGTAGGGTGACCGATCGGCCTGCAAGATGACGTAGCCTGCAGAGCCGAAAACGTAACTTACACGGCAAGTTATAGGGTCCAACTTGCACTTGCAGAACGACGACTGACAGTTTGCAGGTAGGCCGGCTCTGTCGCCTCGGTTAGTCAACCTACGAGTAGCTGCAGAGCGACCGTCTGACTGACCTACGAGTAGCTGCAGAGCGACCGTCTGACTGAGCCAACGAGAAGACACCATGTCGATCCGCTTGCAGCAGGCGCATTAAATGCGTAGACCGACTTAGTTAAGTATAAATAGGAGGGTCTCACCCCTCACTTGGAGGATCTTGATCTCATTGTAACTACTACTTACTACTACTTACTACTTGTACCCTTCACCCTGTAATAGCAACCCGCTTGTAACCTATTACTTACTAGTTGCAATACTACTTAGCCTCGGACCGCTCAGTCGTCGCCCGGTAGTCCGACCGACCGACCGACCGGCTGACCGTCGAGCGCTACATTCTACTCGTTCACAAACATACGTATTCGTAGTGTAACCGTAACCCCGGATTCAATTTACGCTATCATATATATATATATATATATATATATATATATATATATATATATATATATATAAAACATGTTTTGTATTATAACTTTGATATTTAATTACAAGATAATGTAAAAAAGAAGACAATGAACAATGTAGTGAATATAATAAAGGAATAAGGTTTAAATTGGCCAATGAACGTAACCTGAAAATGCAATTAGGCCACTGAACGAAAAAAAGATGCAATTAGACCACTGAACACCCAAAAAACGTGCAATTAGGCCACTGAACACTCCAAATGTATGCAATTTCACCGGATAGCAGGTTACCATCAATTTTAGCAGGTTACCTGCTTACGTGGCAGCTGAGTTTTAAGGTTTACGTGGCAGGCCATAGTTTTACGTGGCAGGCCATAATTTTTAATAACTTTTAATAATAATTTTTTTATAAAAAAATTGAAATAAATAAATAAATAAATTTTTAAAAAATAAAATTTGTTTTAAATAATTTTTTTTAAAACTTTATTATTAAACTTTATAAAGAATTATTTAAAAATTATTAAAAATGCCAACTCAGCTGCCACGTAAGCAAGTAACTTGCTAAAATTGATGGTAACCTGCTATCAGGTGAAATTGCATACATTTGGAATGTTCAGTGGCCTAATTGCACTTTTTTTTTCGTTCAGTGGCCTAATTGCATTTTCAGGTTACGTTCAGTGGCCAATTTGAACCTTATTCCTATAATAAATTAATAAATTTGAAGGTAAGGAATCTTTGAATTGTAGAAAATAAAGATAATATAACTAATGAAATTATATTTCTTTTAATTTTTTTTTATAATGAATAATTTTTTTAAAAAATAAAGCATTATAGACATCTAATTCTAAATTAATTAAATGCATATGTATTATTTTTTGTTGTAGCTACTAATTTATTTAATTAATAAGAGTAATAAAGTGTCGTACATACTTTTCTTCAACAATAATGAAATCAATGATTTTTTTTTTAAATTTCCATTCCTTGTTGAGACAAATTGTTTTGTGAGTTTGTCCATAACAATTGCTACAATTGCTGTTAATAGAGGATGATAATAAATAATTCAAAATATATGGTTACAATAGATATTAATATAATGATATAGTAAAAATTAACTTACAAATTTTTTTAGAAGTTTTCATGCATTGATAAAATTTTGATGTGTAAACTTGTTCAATTGGAGCTAGTAGGATGTTAACATTGTCAATTATTTGAAAAATGATCCTACCGTTTTAGAGTCCATGTGTAATTGTATTTATGATCAACAACTTTGTAGTTAGGCCGCGAAGGTTTGACAATGATGTAAGAACATTGTCCGATAAAAAAATAATAGTATAATATTAGTAATGTAATGTACAATTGTACCATTATAAAAAAAAATACAAAAAAATATTAATACCATAATGGCCTAAATCATTTCCAATAATGCAAAAGCATAATTGAAATATTAAGTTTTGTTCTAAATAATCAGAAGAAGATTAATTAAAAAAAAAAAAACTTAACATAAATTTTTTTTTTAATAAAAAAATTCAAGAAAATCAAATAATTTTAAAGTAATTCCTGATTTATAATATTTGATGCTCAACTTTGAATGCTATGTATTTAGTCGAGCTAATTATTTAGTTTATGCTAAATTTTATATTATATATATTTTTAATACATTTTAACATATTCATAATATATGTTTTAACAATTATGTCAATTATACTTGGGATGAGTTTCGAACCTAAGACCTTATATAAATTAAGAGTATGTTAAGAATAATAAATAGTTAACGGAATATTCCGTTACTAAAGTTTAAACTAACGGAATTTAGGGTTATTTAAGGGAGGAAAATAATATAATAGAGAGTAAATAAGGAAAATCATTAAAAGATACTAAAATCAAAATAATATGAACCATTTATTTTAAGAAACAATTAGTACTGACATTTTTTTTATTCCAGTTAAGGGCCTAACATTATTCGCTCTTATTAGATTTGTAGATTTTATTGACAATTATAATCAATCTTGACTATATTATCTTGCATTTGTAAACTTAGAATTACATATTTAAATACGCAAATTCAACATTCAATTATCTATGCATGAAGAATTCCAATATAATCTTGCCTTGATATACTTTAAAGTACTTATTAGAAAAAAACATTGGGCATTATCCCAATCGCGCAATGCACGTAAAAAACTAGTAATAATAATAATAATGTAAATCATTTTTATAAATTTGATATTTATATTTATGTAATAATTAACATATAATCAAATATCTAATGTGTATATATTATTATTAATGAAGAAGATAAGAAAATATATGGTGGATGCATGTGCATGGTAACAATAGTGGAAAAGATAACGGAAGTTATAACGGTAGGGGTATGTTTGTCCAAAATATTTTAATGTACAACCTTTATAGCATAATGTACAAAAAAACTTAACGGAAGAAACAGACATAAATCAGGGGTATAACTTTCATTCACACTTATTATGTTTTTAGATTTAGATATTTAACGGTTGTGTTGGTTAGCCGTTAACTACCTAAAAATCATAAACCAACAATGTACTTGTAAATTAATTGAAGACACATAATATGTTAATAATAGACACAATATTTTAACTGCAGACACATAATATAATATACCAATTACATATTATGTGTCTATACTCTATAGTTAACATATTATATGTCTATACTCTATAATTAACATATTATGTAGCCTTCAATATATTTACAAACACATCATCTAAATATTACTTTCCACCAAGGTCACAATGCAAAGTGGATCAATACCTTGATCTATGTAAATTTGCCTAAGCTTAACTGTATCAATTTTTATATTTGTACCAAATTTAGTTGAGTCTATAACCTTATAAATTTGAAGTGAGGTCCGCTAAGTCATGCATAAATAATGAAGGAGTGAATTCAACTTCCGACAATTTCAAATTTAATCTCAGACTATTATTTTTGTCATTTAACATCTCAGACTATTACTTTTTGGACACTTCTAGGTCTTCTAATAATTTTTCCTATTTTTAGTAAGATATTTTTATCTCTTCATATTTTTCTTTTATTACTTTTTCGATTTCAACCGGTTTAATTAGTTTAAGACTTTATTAAAAATCAGTTAAAAAATATTATTAGTAAACGACCACTATCACAGAAGTGCTTCTTTAACTGCATGCAAATAATACAAAATCCAAACCCTTCATTTATTTGATTGGTCCTTAAAAAAAAAAAAAAAAAAAAAAAAAAAAAAAAAAGTCCCCTAACCTCATAATATATTCTGCTTTGCTTTTTATCTTTTTCCAGAACATACGTTTTATTCTAAACGCCTGAAAGACGCAAAAACCCAGTGGCGTAAAACATGTTTTTTTGAGACCTATCTCATATTCTCTTTGTTGCAAGAATGTCTTTATATATGCTTGGCTTTGATAAAGAAAAGAAAAGAAAGAAAAAAAGTTAAGATACTTCTTGCTAATATTTACGTACGTACCACGCAAGTTATGACTAATCGTGAAGAAGGTCATATATTTTACAAATTAACATGGCATCTCATTCCGCACCCAGCATTCCAAGAGCAATTACTTTTTTTATCACCTACTACGTACTCCATCCTCGAATTATTGATTCCTATGGCAATTCTACAATTTGTAGATATTGAGACTTAGTTAATAGTTGTTGTTTACCTAGTCTTTGGGTTCTGTTTAACTAGCTCCCTGGTTGTGTGGGATGTTGGCTATTTATTCCTCTTCTCTGTTAATGAATAGAAGTGTTCATTTTGCCACTCTCACAGTAGAAACTAGTGTTTAACCCGAATCTCTGAAAACTTTGAATATGAAAGTGGTAGAAGCTAAGATTAGATTGAGGGACTGTATTAATTAGCTTTCTATAGACGCTTGCTTAGCTCAATCAAACTTCGTATTATAGAGGCATAACCAGAATACTATCAAGATGTCACAAAGTGTGTTTTTACTTGAAATTGTTTAAAGAGTGTTGAGAGAGTGAAATATTATTCCGACACTTCAATTATGAGCAATAATGTAGTAACAGTTTGTAGTAGATCAGAACAATTACGTATCAACCCGCCGGCCACCTGCTATTACAACTAACAAATTAAAGAAATTAAATGCTTTGGATAAATCCCAGAGGAGAAAGAAAGATGAGATGATTACATGCATATATGATTTATTGGATGACCAAATTAAAGTGATTAGTTTAGTTGATGTCCTCCTTTCCCACAATCAACTTTGCTCTGGCGTGTCCGGCCTCGATTCTGAACTGCTCTCCTAGTCCAAAATGCGCCATTAAAAGCCAAACAAATGTGAGCAGCTCTCCCCCTTTGCCCAGGTACTGAGCATGAGCGTCTCCTCTGCAATTGCAGGCTCCATAAGACAACAATTCCACCCACACTTTACTCATCATTCCCCACACTTCATTTTCAGTATAGGGAGTGTTTTTATCGCACAGCCTTTCCAGATGCCCTGCAAGTATACACGCATCAAATAACAGCGACTTGCTTCTATCTCCCTTCACTTCCGACGGCTTCACTTGTGGGTTCACTGATTTTAGCCACTCACACGCTCCTTTTCTTTTCTCGTCTTCCTCTGTGTTCTGGTGTTCTTCCCACAGGGTTGGCTTCCTCTTTCTCCCCTTTTCTGTGAAGCATTTGAAGGTAAACGCGTATTTAATGTCGTCCCATGTGGATAACATCATGGAATACAAGTACAACCCGCATGCTTTCTTGAGCTTCTTGAATGTTTCAAGAAGAGAATGGCAGGTTTTCTGCTTTTGTTGTCTTTTGAAGAAATTGGTGGCTTCCTCGCAGGTGTCTCTGAACCTGATTTCCACAATGCCTGCCACTGCAGAGGTCATTTTCCGCTCCATCACCAATAGATACAACAAGTATTCTGAGATGTATCTACATATATCTGCATCATGAACTTCATCACTACTGGATTTTGCTCTGGAACTACTGAAATAAAATATCTCAGTAGCAATATGCCACATTAGCACACACTCATCGTACTCCACATCTTGGCTAACGCTGAAATGGATTTCTGGGCCACAGTTATAGTCAAGGAGTGTCCATTCTCCTTTAGACGAAGAAATCTCCTTTGCAACACTGGTTTTGGTTGCCTGCTTACCCTTTCTCTTGATCTCATTGAAAATAAGCTCTTTCAGTTTTTCTTCAACATCTCGAGTTTTACCATATAGGCAAGAACAAACCGCCTCTATAAGCCCAACCTGGTCAATCAAATAGGAGACCCAATTCGGCCACTTGTGTAAGCAGTGATTGATGAAGCTATACTGATGCATTTCCTCCGACCAACGCTTGGTCGGAATGATTCCCTTCATTTTTTGAATCGCTTTGGCTAGCTTTTTCCTCCAGTTCGGGGCGGAGGTGCTTGTAGTAAGACTCTTCTCGGAACCCACAAGTAGAGAAGCTATGGTCCACTTGGAAAAGATGAGCTCCATTATCGCAATCAAATCTAAGGCAACCCCACCGCCCAGCAAGAAATAGGTGACAATTTTGTCACCCATATGTATAGGGTGGTCATGATGCTTCTTCAGGGACAGGGAGAATGTGACGGTGGCAGATATAAGTAGAGCGGTGCAGATGAAACGGAATATGTAGCCGGAGACGCTACGGACGGCGCTCATCTTAGTGAACATGGCATCGTAGATGAAGTTGAGCTCCATTTCCATCACTCTAAAAGCATCCTTAAACTTTAATGATGTGTAGAATGTCCTACTCTCGTCGCGCTCCAGGAAGCTAAACATGTGATCAACAATGAGGCCTTTGAAGGTCTTGAAGAATTTGTACCCATGCCTTATAACTTCAACCTCTTCGAGCTGAATAATCCCCCCATCCTCCCCCGTATCCGCTTTCGCTCCTTTCTCGCGGTTTATATCGATCTTGACGGGAAGATTCGCCGCCTGCTTAGACGCCATTTCCTCCATAAGCTGGGCGTAATCCGGCCCGGCATCAGGATCCTCGCGCATCGACTTCTTTAAATTCGGGAGAGACGCCCGGTTCAAAGAACGGGTGCGTTCCGCGTACTTGATGACCCCCGCGATAAAAGTGAGCCCCGTTGGGATCAAGAATCTATTCTTGTGTATACGGTAGCGGTAAAAGACGAGGAGAACAGATAGAAGCTGAACAATCAAGCTTAGCAAATGGCGGTGCCAAAGCTCGTTATCCTCAATAGCAAACGCAGTAATGGTGTCGGGGCCACCCAAGTGGAGCAAGAGGAAAGGAGCCCAGAGAGGCGCGAGGTCCAGGCGTTTAAATGCGCCGCAAGAAGCCGCCGCAGCTTCGTTACCTGTAGTTCGAATTTGGCTGCCATTGTTGATGAGGCCTATGGCATATGTAGCGATATAGTCAGCTAGAAGATACACGCTCCAGAGAGTGAGGATGCGAAGGTTGCCCTTGGCTCGTGTTCTTGTCGGAGCTGCAAATATTAGCACTACCTGGAAGGCTAGACTCGCCAGAACGATGGCTTGGACGTTCCATTGTTGCCAAATCTCATTCAGAAATGAGAATATATTATTTCTTTCTGCAGGATTACGTCCGCTCATCCCCATTGGATTTGGACTACTCATTCTTCCCCACGTCTGATCTCCACCAATGCAAGCACAATAATAAATCATAATTTTAATTTTGTTTATTTCAAAATTTAATTTCTCAACTATTTTTCGCGTCAAGGACTAATGTTAAAGGAAATATCAAAAGTTAAATGTGGAAAGTAAAATTGAAAAAAATATGTAAATGCATAAGATAAAAGGAAAAAAAAAACATTTGATTTCATTTATACTACCAGCATAATTTTTATTCCAGCTTAAGATTAATATTATTGGCTTTTATTATAGTTATTATATAATTATATATACATACATGGAAAAATTTATAATAATATCGTGAATTATAATGTTGTAAGAGTAGAGTGCTCTATGCTATGCAAAGTTATACTCTCCCCTTATGTGCAAATTTTCAAAACACACTATTGTAACACATTGTAAAAGTGTGTGTAGGGGGTGTTTGGGGAAGCAAGCTAATGGAGGAACCGATTTGTAGTGATTGTGAGTTTCTCTTGTCACTCAAAAAAATTATATATGTGGAATAATAAAAAGATAATATATATTTTTTTATTAAATTTTGTATACAATTTAATTGAGGACAACCCTAACAAAGTCGATTAGATTATTAATTAACTTTTAACAACAAAGTTACAAGAACTCCTAGTAAGATCTGAGCAACCTATGCAACTTAGGTTGGTTTACCTACTGCAAATTTTAATTCCTTTATCACTCAAAAAAAGTTACAAGTTGAATTCTAAGCCAAGCGGCCATAACAGGAAAGAATAATTAAAGGAATGTGGGAAAGAACAGCAAACTTAGTAGTACCTGAATGTTGAGCAAACTCACAATTGTCTGCTCTGAAAAAGTAGAAGATATGTGTTTCCATTACGCATAAGCAGCGAAACATAATATTATTATAAACATAAAAAGAAATAATGGAGAGTGAACATACTGTACTATTGGGTTCCTAGCTTCCTGGAGGGTTGCCCTTCCTTAGCTTGCATGATATGATTCAGCGACGACTATCACCACACCATGATTTCCTTAAATAGAAACCAATGGCAAAACAGAAAATCCAGACCCTTCATCTATTTGATTGGTCCTACCATTCTGATTTGCTTTGCAACTTTTTCCAGTTTTTAATTTGTTCTAGACGTGTGTAAGACGTAATTCCCTGCCAAAAAAAAAAAATAAAAGAAGAAATATCAGTGACACGAAACATGTGCACTACGCTTTGGCTAATACAATACAGCTAGGCAGCTAGCATAGCCTACCTTAATTATTATCTCTTTGTTGCAAGAGTGTCTTCAAGCTAAGCTGTTTGAGACTGCGTGCAGAGAAAGTATAACATATAGATAAATATATGCTTGGCTTTATTAAAGAAGAAAGTGAGAAAAATTAAAGTTAAAGATCAGATACTCCTCACATATATTTACGCATTTTATAGTACCAAACAAGCCATCAATAGTTGTCAAGAAGAAGACCATTGTCTTACACACTTGCATTATGTGGTATCTCATTCTGCGTGCCTACATTCTAAGGAGCTTACTCCTTACTAGTTACTACACCACATCACTGCACAACACAACTGCACCGGATGCACCAATGCACTACTCCTCAGATCTTGACCGTCCAATCTCACATCTCAACGGTGCATTGCACAGGTTCACACTTTGTGGTGTACTTTTGAGTGAACTGTGGTTTACCAAAAAGTGATGGTCTGTGATGCAATAATGAAAAAAATGCAGTGGCATTTTGATAATGTCCTACACTGTATATTTCGATGGTGCACAATGTGCTGAGTGTGGTGCACTTATGAGCGATCTAAGGTGCACCTATGAGTGTCTTGTGGTGCACTAGGAGTGGGTGCACCACCAAGATACGTAAATGCATCAGGCCTCACGACGACATGGGAAGAGAAATGGAAAATTGGAAGAAATGGAGAATGAAAATTAGAAATTTGAAAAAATGGAAAAGTGAAAAATGAAAAACAGGGTAATGAAGTAATTAAATGACCCAGTAAAATTATCTTCGAAAGCGTGGTTGAAACCTTGAAAGAAGTCTTGTGTCATCTCTCTTAGATCTTTGGATTGAAAAGTTAGTTGCTCAAAATGATTGAGAACAACTTAAATAGGATTGCAAACATTGACATGCGTGCCCTATAACACGAGTATGTCGCAAGGCGCGTCAAAATTTGTTTGATGTTTTCATCTTGATTTATCTTCAATCTCTGAAAATTTTGAGCACGAAAACCGTAGAGGACTATATATCTTATTATCTTTCTATAGACGCTTAAATCAAACTTCATATATATGATGTAGGTATGACCAAAATACTATCAACATTTAATTACCTACCAGCTATTACATACAACAACAAAGAAATTAAATGCGTTGGAGGACCAAGATTATTACATTAATTATTTTGTATTCACTTCCTGCAGATTAAAACACAAAGTGTATATATACTATATAGTAGGCTTACAATATATATATTGAATTGAAAGCAGGCCAATATAATGGAACAAGTAGGGCGGTGTGTGATTAGTTGAACTCCTTTCCCACAATCAACTTTACACGGGCGGGTCCGGGGTCGTTTCTGAACTGCTCTCCCAGCCCAAAATGCGCCATCAAAAGCCAAACAAATGTGCGCAGCTCTCCACCTTTGGCTAGGGACTGAGCATTAGCGTCTCCTCTGCAATGGCACGCTCCATATGACAGCAGCTCCACCCACACTTTACTCATCATTCTCCACACTTCATTTTCAGTGTAGGGAGTGTTTTCATAGCACAGACTTTCCAGATGACCTGCAAGTGCACACGCATGAAACAACAGCGACCTACTTCGATCTCCCTTCACTTCTGCCGGTGTCAATTGTGGTCTCACTGTTTTTAGCATCCCACACACTTCTTTTCTTTTTTTGTCTTCCAATATGTTCTGGTGTTCTTCCCACAGGGTTGGCTTCCTCTTTCTCTCCTTTGTTGTGAAGCATTTGAGGGTAAACGCGTACTTGATGTCATCCCATGTGGATAACATCATGGAATACAAGTAAAGCCCACATGCTTTCTTGACATTTTTGAATGTTTGAAGAAGAGAGTAGGTGTTGGAGGAGAAGTGGCCCCCCAGAGTTTTCTGTTGTTGTCGTTCTCTGTTGAAGAACTTCCTGGCTTCCTCGAAGGTGTCTCTGAATTTGATATCCACAGTAATCATTTTCCGCTCCATCACCAATAGATACAACAAGTATTCTGAGATGTATCTACATATATCTGCATCATCATCACTACTGGATTTTGCTCTGGAACTACTGAAATAAAATATCTCAGTAGCAATATGCCACATTAGCACACACTCATCGTACTCCACTTCTTGGCTAACGCTGAAATGAATATCTGGCTCCACATTACTATAGTCAAGGAGTGTCCATTCTCCTTTAGACGAAGAAATCTCCTTAGCAACACTAGTTTTGGTTGCCTGCTTACCCTTTCTCTTGATCTCATTGAAAATAAGCTCTTTCAGTTTTTCTTCAACATGTTGAGTTTTAGCATATAGACAAGAACAAACCACCTCGTTCAGCCCAAACTTGTCGATGATATAGGAAACCCAATTTGGCCACTTTTCTTTGTGTAAGGTGTGATTGATGAAGCTATATTGATTCATTTTCTCCGACCAACGCCTCTTGCTCCGACCAATAATACACTCCTTCACTTTGCTAATCATTGTGGCAGCCGTTTTCTGCAAGTTCCGGACAAAGCTTGGAGAAAAACTATTCTCTGAACCCAAAAGTAGAGAAGCTATGGTCCACTTGGAAAAGATGAGATCCACTATAGCAATCAAATCTAAGGCAACACCACCGCCGAGCAAGAAATAGGTGACAATGATGTCAACCAGATGTATATGGTGATGCGATTGCCGGGAGAATATGACGGTTGCCGCTATAAGTAGAGCAGTGCTAATAAAACGGAGTATGTAGCCGGAGATGCATTGGACAGCACTCATCTTGGTGAACATGGCATCGTAGATGAAGTTGAGCTCCATTTCCACCACTCTTAAAAGCATCCTTAAACTTTAATGATGTGTAGAATGTCCTACTCTCGTCGCGCTCCAGGAAGCTAAACATGTGATCAACAATGAGGCCTTTGAAGATTTTGAAGAACTTGTACGCATGCTTTACAACTTCAAGCTCTTCCAGTTCCAGATTAATTTCAGCATCCTCGTCCATACCAGCTATGGCTATCTCACGGTTAAGATCGATAATGACGGGAAGATTGGCGGCCTGCTTAGATGCCATCTCCTCCATAAGCTGTGGATAGTCAGGTCCGGCATCAGGAGTGTCGCGCATCGACTTCTTCAAACTGTCCTGAGGCGCCAGATTCAAGGAACGGGTGCGTTCACCGCACTTGATTACCCCGGCGATAAAGATGAGCGCTGTTGGGATTAGGAACCTATCATGCTCCAGAATGCTGTATCGGTAAAAAACGAGTAGAACCGAGAGAAGCTGAGCAATCAAGGTTACCAAATGGCGTGTCCATAGCTCGTTGTCCTCAACAGCGAAAGCGGTGATGGTGTCTGGTCCACCCAAGTGGAGTAAGAGGAAAGGAGCCCAGAGAGCCGCAATGGCGCTGTCGTCTTTAACTGCACCGCAGGAGGAGGATGAAGATGATGATTCATCACTGATAGTTTGAATTTTGCTGTCATTGTTGATGAGGGCTATGCCAAATGTGGCGATATAGTCAGCTAGCAGATACACGCTCCAGAGAGTGAAGATACAGGAGCTGCTCTTGGCACGTATTCTTGAAGGAGCTGCAAAAATTAGCACAATCTGGAAGGCTAGACTGCCCACAACAATGGCTTGGATGCTCCATTGTTGCCAAATGTAATTCAGAAATTCCAATATATCTCCAGAAGGAGTAGCACACCCTCCGTTCACCATTGGACGGACTACGTACTCAGTCCGTCTCCGGGCACCAATTTGCTTGCAACTCGATCTGCCGCCGGCCTGTCAATTCTTTTAAAGTATATTTTCAAATGATAAATAATATAATTCTATTCAAAATAGATATGCATTATTTATTGATTCAAATTATTTTAAGTTAGAGCTTATTTTGAGAACATTACCAAACAGAGTTTATACTTTATTAAGAGCTTAAAATAAGTTATAAGCTGAGAAAATATATGAACAGATACTACAATGTAATAGAACCAATAACATTCAAAAAAAAAGTTATAAGCTCCTATCTGACAAATAAAGCGATGTTTAATTACTTTGGTTAAGCATAAGAGTCTTTGTTTATTTTGCCTCTTAGTGAGAATGTAAATATATAACAGAAATATCGTGAACGGTTTAATAAAACACATACATGGTACAACTTTTCAAAATATAGCATTATAATACATGGTAAAATTGTGTGTATCTTGTGTGTATAACACATTGGGAAAGCAAGGGAGGGAATTTCTAAGATGCGGATTTGTAGCAACTATAGCAAGTATATAGCATAACCACTCATGGTGTGCATTGTGTTGGATGTTACTTTGTGAAGACAACTAGACAAGTATATCATGTATGTAAGAGATAGTATCAGTACAAATGCACACATTAGTTTGCGTAACGTAACGACTTACAATTATTGATTCTGACAAAGTAGAAGATGTCAAGCACACTTATTAACTTAAAGAATTTTTTCATTATCCTCAAAAACAGAAGAATTAAAGAATAGAAAATAGAAATGTTGTTTGTTAAGATTTTTCACTTTGAAAAACTAAAAAATGCTTTTAGAAAATTAGAAAATTTTTAAAAATTATTTTCTAAGGTGTGTTTAAAAATCCATAAAATAATTTGTAGAAATCATTTTTCGGGTTTTCAGTGTTTGGTAAAGAGTGAAAAATGAGAGTAAAACGAAAATGACTATTTGGTCATAAGAAAATACTCTCATTTTCTTAGAAAATGACTTCCTCATTGATTTTGGAAAGTCATATATTTTTCAATTTCCACACCACTCCCACCGCCACCGCCACAACCACAACCACTACCACCACCACCATTGCCGCTACCACCACCACCACCACCATTTATATTATTATTATTATTATTATTATTATTATTATTATTATTATTATTATTGTTGTTGTTGTTGTTGTTGTTGTTGTTGTTCTTGTTCTTGTTCTTGTTGTTATTGTTATATTCTAAACAAAACAATTAGAATGTTTAATTATACAATTCTACTCATTTTCCAAAAAATGAATGAAACACACCAAGACAGTTTTCTAGGATGTAACGAAACGATGCAAATGAAAATGTTTTCTGAAAAATGACCGTACCAGAAGTCATTTTCTTGATTTCCCAACACACCCTAAGTGAAAACAGAATCTCTATGATCTATATGACTATAAGTCACTATAACCATATTTTCACAATTATCTACTTACATATTGATTCATTACTATGATTACATTCATTATATATTATCTTCTTTTACTTAATTATCACCATTTTATATCTTTTCTACTTGCATTTACTTATATAAACATAATTTATTTGTTTACGCTTAAATTTAGACATTATTCACATTATCACAATTAAAACTTGAACTCTACACCAAATTTTAGATTTTGATTGAACTCAATAGATTATTGGTTTGTATATTTTTAGTTTTGTTATATCGTAATATAAGTTTGATCTAGATATTGAATATTGAAATTTCACATATATTAGACTTCAAAAGTAAAAATTATTTATATACCTTTCATTCAAATGAATATATATATATATATATATATATATATATATATATATATATTTGGATCAAGGGGAGGGACCGCCGAGGGGGTACCTAATAGATCTATTATCGTTTGTTCACAATGGCATTTCCGACACCAAGGCTACCAAGGCATTCATCACGGGTCATCCTGCAGACCTTTTTGGGGGACCGTCAAATTCAATCCAATCGCATCTCTTCTTTTTTGCTATCTTAGCAAAACTATTCGCTACCATGTTTTGATCTCAAAATATTATATTTATTCAATGTAAACCAAACATATCTAAAAATATTTTAAATATAAAATTTAAAATGACTCTAAATTAAATGTGTGTTAATTTTATAATGTTACTCTAAAAAATAATTTTGAAAAAAATAGTGTTACTAAACAAATTTTTTGAACAGGAAAAAAAATGAAAACTGTAAAATTAGAAAATGAAAAAAAAATCCAGAAAACATAATATTAAAAGGGTTACCATATATTTGGCATTAGCAGCTAAACATAATATTATAAACATAAAAAGAAATGGAGTGAACATACTTTGGTTCCTAGCTTCCTGGGCGCGCGGTTGCCCTTGCATTATATTATTCAGCGACTATATATCATGACGCCATGATTCTTAAATAGAAAGCAATGTCAAAAGAGAAAATCCATCTGTTTGATTGGTCCTACCATTCTGCAGATTTAATTTGTTTTGCAACTTTTTCCAGTTTTTAATTTGTTCTAGACGTGTGTAAAACGTAATTCTCTGCCAAATAAATATATAAATAAATAAATCGGTGACATGAAATATGTGTACTACGCTTTGACTAATACAATAATACAGCTAGCCTTCCTAATTATTATTATCTCTTTGTTGCAAGATTGTCTTCAAGCTGTTTGAGACTGCTTGCAGAGAAAGTGTAACATATAGATAAATATATGCTTCGCTTTATTGAAGAAGAAAGAGAGAAAAATTAAAGTTAAAAAGATATTCCTCACATATATTTACGCATTTTATAGTACCAAACAAGGCATCACTAGTCGTCAAGAAGAAGACCATTGTCTTACAGACTTGAATTGCAGTTAATTTTGTGATATCTCATTCTGCCAACACTCTGCTAATCATTGTGGCACCCGTTTTCTCCCAGTTCCGGGCAGAGCTCAATTGGGATTAAATGGGCTGAACGGAGAGAAGCTGAACAATCAAGCTTAGCAAATGGCGGTGCCAGAGCTCGTTGTCTTCAATGGCGAAGGCGGTGATGGTGTCTGGGCCACCCAAGTGGAGCAAGAGGAAAGGAGCCCAGAAAGCAACAATGGTGGTTGATGTTATCACATCTTTGCTTGTTATTATAGTTATTTTGAATCATCTCAGTATTTAAGTTCTTTAATTTTGCTTATTTAATACATATTTTCCTTGCTATTATCATTTAATTATGGTTCACACTTGGTTTGAATGTTTTACGGTGTTTGTTAGTGTTTTTGAACCATTTTAGGTCAAAGATATGAGCAAGGGAAGTTCAAGGATGAGTTTTGAGCAATTTTGGACGAGTTCGGGACCCAGTGGACTCGACGCGTCGAAATTTTCCAGTAGCTAACTAATTTGCGCACAGGAAGTCTCGACGCGTGGAGAAAATTCTCGACGCGTCGAGAGAATAGGCGTCTATTTCTGGGATAAAAACAGACGCCTAAAGTGGCGCAGCTGGGCAAAATTTAATACAAGCGCGAGATTTCTTTTCCTAATATCAATTGCACAGATTTCAAGGCTCATATCTCCATATTAAAAGTTAGCAATTCAAAGAATCTTCCAAATTCTAAATATCATTAAAGACGGCAATTTCTTTATTTAAATATAGGAATTAGAATTTGAGTCCAATTTGGTACAAGATTCCTATTTCATCTCAACTTTGTACCCACTATAAAATCCCTCCTTCCTCAACCCTAACCGGACACCAAGAGATTTTTCAGAGTTCTTTGTAGACAAGAAAGAGAGAAATCAAGAGGCCCAAGTTATCTTTGGAAGCAAGGAGGAAGCCACGGAGATTCGGGAGAATCGCTTGGTCAATTCTTGTACTCTTTTGATGGTTTGTGATTCTTTATTTATATTTGCTATGTATAATTTAGCCATGCTTGGCTAAATTCCTTAGGGATTTTTGGGTGAATTTGTTTATGAACCTATGTGCCTAGTTCGTTAATTTCTTAATATATTTATGTTTGGTTTTATGATTTGTGTTGCAAATCCTGTTTTTAACCTGTTGTTGTTGGTAATTAAAGGCCTAAATTACTAGCTTCATAGTCATATTTGTGTCACCAATGGGAGTTGGGGCATAAATTAGGGCACACACGATTGCACCTAATGGTTGGTCCTTGGGAAAGGGGAACTTATTAGGGGAAATTTATTCTAGATTATTGCTCATCGGGAGATGGTAGTAATTAGGAATAATTGAATGCTGATGTTTGATCTTATTGGGTGTTTAAGCCATGGGAGTGGAAATTCACTAGGAATAGAGATTACGGGAGTAATTCGATTCCACTTTGCATTCCCATACAAATCTTAATTCCAAACCAAATATTACAAACGTTAATTGGCACTAGGTGATTAAACATTGTGATCCCAAGAATCCTATTTTGCTCTATTGTCTAAAAAACCTTGTTACTTATTTTATTCTGCTTATTATTTTATGCAATTAATCGACCTTCAAGTTTTGTTCGGATTAGTTTCATATGAGTAACCTAGTAGCTAGTGATTAGTACACCACTTCTCTGTGGTTCGACAACCCGAATACTCCGGGTATTATTTGTTTGCCCCAAATTACAGCAATCAAATTGGCGCCGTTGTCGGGGAGGTGGCGTTACGTACTGACATTAGTGAAAGTCTTGCTTTAGGAGTCTAGTTCATTTATTTATTTTATTTTATTTATTTATTGATTTATTTTATCTGCTAATCCATAACAAGTTCCTTGTTCTTGAGTGTGATTTTGCTTTGAATCTAAGAACTTGGCTTTTTATGCATACACGATCTCGTGGGAAAGAAGGATTATTACCTTTGAATCTTGAGATTGAGAAAAGAGCCAAGTTTCTTAGGAAACAAACTAGGATGGCACAGGTACAAGAAAACCAAGCTGGAGGGAGATCAATGTCTGACTACCTTGCTCCGGATGTTGAGGAGCATGGTAGCATCAATATTCCAAATGTGGAGGCCAATAACTTTGCGATCAATCCGGCCATACTCAGCATGGCTGCGGCAAATCGATTTGGTGGGATGCCCACGGAAGATCCCAATGCTCACGCCACCAAGTTCCTACGACTTTGTGGCACTTTCAAGATAAATGGAGTCACTCAAGATGCTGTCAAACTTAGGCTTTTTCCCTTTACACTGAAGGACAGGGTTGAAGATTGGTTATCCTCACATCCAGATAACCATTTTGACACTTGGGACAAATTACATGGAGAATTTTTGAAGAAGTTCTATCCTATCTCCAAAACTCAACGGATGAGAAGGGCAATTCAAAACTTTAAGCAACTGGCAACTGAGTTCCTCACTGAGTCTTGGGAGAGATTTAAGGAATTGAAGAGGCAATGTCCACACCATGGATTTCAGAGTTGGGATTTGATGATGTCTTTCTATGAAGGATTGCTGGATAATTCTAGGATTTTGGTGGATGCTTCTTCAGGTGGTTCGTTCACGATTCTAGAGCCAACACAAGCCGAGGAACTATTGGAGAAAATTGCTATGACTGGATCTACTTGGTACACGGAGAGGTCTCCACAAAAGCTGGTAGGAGGAATTCATGATGCGGGGCAGTTAGCCGATTTGTCAGCAAAGTTGGATAACGTGGTCTCCCTGGTTCAAAAACTTGCCCAAATCACCAGCCAAAATCACAATTCAGGGGATTGTATCGACGAGTTCAACTCCCAAACCTCTATGGAGCAAGTTAATATGTTGGGATATAATAGGCCTCATCAACAGTCTTACCAACCTCAAGAGACCTACCATCTTAATAATTCAAGGAACCATCCCGGTTTTTCATGGAGCAACCCAGTGGGAGCCGCCAACCCTCAACACTTTGTTAATAGAGGTCCTCTGGGTTATCAAGGTACTCAAGTTCAATCTAAATTTCCCGTTTCAGAGGCCCCACCACAATCGAATACGGACGCTTTGCTGGAAAAATTGATTAAATGTCAGTTAGAGATTACAGAAAGGATGGATAAAATGGAAGCTCGCCAAAATCTGGTTGAAAGGCAATTAGCAAATCAACCTTCTATATCAAGTACTAAAGTCACAGGGAAGTTGCCAGCTATGCCTGAAAATCCAAGGGAGCATGTAAATGCAATTGTTACAAGGAGTGGCAAAATACTTGAAGAGCCACCTCTTCCAATCAAAGCATCAATTCCTAAAAAGACAGTTGAGGAGAAGATTGAAGAGATACTTGGTGGTATAGAAGATGAGCCAATTGCTGTGCAAAATAATCCACAAGTTCAAAAGGAAGTAGAGAAACCTGTGAGAAGGTATGTACCCCCATTGCCTTTTCCTCAAAAACTTGAAACAACAAAAGAAAGTAGGTGGAAAAAGTTTTTGGAGATTGTTGAGAGTTTGAAAGTTTCAGTTCCCTTACTTGATTTGCTTTCACAAGTTCCCTCTTATGGAAAATTTTTGAAAGAGATTCTAGCTAAGAAAAAGAAGTATGGGGAACGAGAGATGGTAGCTGGGGCACAAGAGTATCAAGCGTTGACCCCGGGAATTGGGAGGAATATACCTAAGCATAGAGATCCGGGGAAGTTCACAATTCCTTGTGTGATTGGAGGCCGACCTTTAAAGGGATCCCTTTGTGATTTAGGAGCTAGTGTGAGTGTTATGCCTCTTACTCTTTGTCAAGGGTTAGGGTTGGGAAAACCAAAACCAATCCAATTCACCTTAGAAATGGCGGACAGATCCATCGTTAAGCCTATTGGAATCCTTGAAGATGTCCTAGTTCGTGTGGACAAGTATTTTGTGCCTTGTGATTTTATTGTGATAGATGTCCAAAGGAACTTAGACGTTCCACTCATTTTGGGGAGACCCTTCCTAGCCACTATTGGAGCAATGATTGATGCAAGGAAAGGGTCCATGATTTTTGACTTTGGGGAGGAAAAGGTGGAATTTAATGTTCTTGATGAGCCAAAAATCATTGAGTGCAAGTCAATCTTGCACATCGATCCTACTCTCAAGGTGTCACATGATGAGTATTTGCATTTGAAGAGTCTATGGGGTGATGAGATCAAACTCGCGGATCAACCAGGATGAGCACTCCATAACCAGGTTAGGTTGAGCTAGCGACGTTAAATTTAGCGCTTCATGGGAGGCACCTCATGTTATCTTTTATTTCTTTCATATTTATTGCTTTCTAGTTTAATTTTATTGCTTTCTAGATTCATTTTATTTAGTTTTATTGCTTGCTAGTTCGGGATTATTTTATTGCTTTTTAGTTTTCTCTTTTCTCTTGTTCTACTTTTCTTTTGCATCAGGGATGATGCAAAGTTTTAAGTGTGAGGGGGAGGAATCATTAATTTGGAGATATTTCTAAATTTTTAAAATTTTTGCTTTTGCTTGGATGACTCATATGCTATTTTTGGTGAATAAGTTACTTGTCTTAGCATGCAGTTACAAT